CATAAAGGCTGCCCACCTGACTGTGATGTTAATTTACTTCCCAGCCCACCAGACAGGGCAAATGGAAATTTGGTCTTCAGGGAGGAAACCAAAGTCATTGAAAAAGACATTTTAAAATTATGCCCTGCCAATTTTGAAATGGAAGGTTCTCCAAATATTCCAAAATTCTAATCCGAGCCCCATGACTCAATGGATTGTGTCCACACCATCTGCTTTAAATACACAGAGATACTTCTGTTGCGTCAGCACAGACTGGTTTTCTCATTAGTAGAAAACCCATGTTTCTGCCACTAGAAAGAAAGACCAGATATTCTATTTGCCCTTATGCTCATGGTGCTCTTTTTTCATTGCTTTTGGTGGTTTGCACTCAGGGCTGAGGGGAAGAAGCTAGGATGAAGGTGAGCAACCTGATACATTCCACCCTCTTAATCATGGATACTAGAATGGGGTGGGGATAGAAGGGCACAGAAAGAAAAAAGCATGAAGCACCCAGTGTTTTTTTTTTTTTAAGCCTTTGAGGTTTCTCAGAGAAGTCAGTGAGGAGAGGGGAAGGAAGGTATGCTCACAGGTTTTCGCTTATGCTAAAGATGCATAGCAGAGCTACATTTCATGGTAGAGAAGGGTATGCTAGAGTGCTAACACATGCATACCAAGCACAACAGTGGTCCAGAGAGATGAGGGATCCTTTCAGCTCTTGTCCTGTTGATATGGGCATCCCCCTTCCACTGCATACTAAAGCCCCTGTCCTCTCTTGCTTTGGCATTTGAAGCAATCATCTACTTGCTTGCAAGCTGCCTGGATTCCTTTTGAAATGTGAGATTTTGAGATGTTAAACTAGGGCAGGATTACTGTGGAGGTGGTTCTGAGCTTCCTTGTCCAGGTATTTGCTCCCAGTTCTGTCCAAGATGCTATATCATGCAGATGAAGGACTCAGCCTGTCAGTTCATGAGCTTTCTCCTCAAATGTGGATGTGTAGTTGGAGCCTATCACCACCACTGGGTGCTATAGAGCACCCTACGTTATGCACCTTTCTTATTATGGAAATGTCCCCATTGAGATGCCAGAGCAAAGACTCAGGTGCAAAGTACTAGTTTTGCACAATGCTAGTTTTTGCATGATGCCCAAGCAAGGCAAGAGGAAACTATTCTTGAGATATAACAATAAAAATAGCAAGGGGAGAAGTGCACGCTGACTTGGTCTCATGTGTAGTAGAGGGAGAAAAAGGAGCTTTAGGTGGAAATTATGCTGTTCCTGTGTAAGTTCCTCTTTCTCTGATTAATGTAATATGATTTGCATATGATAAAATAGCATACAATAAAAGGCAGGAATACTCATATTAGAACATTCCCTCTCAATTGTAACACAAAAGCAAGAAGTATGTAGTGATGTGTGGCACAAATTCATCCTACAAAGTGACACAACTCAAAGTGACACTTTTTAATCTCCTCTCACAATTTCAACAGTATGCACTGGTGTGTGGCACTTAGGGACCTGTGGATATTGTCAAATCTGTTCGGTCTTTCACAGTTTGTTAGGCGCCTGCTCATTGATGAAATCAGATGCACAAGAATTTCATTCCACAAGAATGCAGCAGCACAAGTCCACATTTGCAGATTGCTCCCAAAAGTAAAAAGATGGTCTGTTGCATAATGTGCAGTCTGGGATTACAGAAGTCCAAACTCATTTGAACCCATTGCTGATTTCTCCAATATCCCTAATGGCACCTGATTGCTTTATAAATAAAGGAAATACAGTGCTGTATTTATTAATGTGTGCCCATCAAGCAGCAATTGCATTTTTTAAAAAATAGCAGCACAGCCTCTCAAATGAAATCCTATCCTAGTCTGAGATGACTCTTTGTGGAACCAATTGGAATTAGAGACTGAACTGCTTTCAAATTTAATTTGCATATGAAGTAGAAAATTTCCAGGGATGTCTAACTCAGCCACAGTGACTTCCACAGCCAAAGTGGAAAACTTGAAAAATGAGTGGGGTGCTAAAAAGGAAGACAAAAGATCAAAGAAAAAAGAAAGACAAAGTCAAGAAGATCAAATCTCTGCAGAATGCTTGGGTTTTACAGAAAGCCACAGTAAAGGCTCAACTAGAATGGCTGTCATAGACCACTGAAGGTACCACAAAATCTAAGAGATCCCCAACATGAGTAATGACAAGAAAACCATTACAAAAGAGAAAGCTCCCCTTAGGAAATGCAAACTGTGCTCAATGGATAATCATGATGAATAGAAATGAATGCAAAAGAAATGCAGGGAAACAATAAGAAAGAAGCATATAGCTAAAATTAAGATTCATAATAAAAATATTTAAATGCATCAGAAGCAGGAAGCAGGCTAGAAAGGCAGTAGAATCACTGAATGACAAGAGAGTGTAAGAAGTACTAAGGGAGGATAAGGGGATTGCAGAGAAATTAAATAAATTGTTTGTATCTGAAGATGTAGGACAGATACCTTTGTCTGAACTAATATTTTCAGGAAGCGAGTGTTAGCAACTGATTCAAACAGTGTTGATAAGAAATAGTTTCAGATCTTATAGACAAACTAAAAACAAATCAATCCAGACAAGACAGAAGTCCTGTTGGTTGGTGGTTCGGGCTTCGGGGAAGGTGAATTGAATCTTGTCCTGAACGGGGTTGCACTCCTTCCTAGGGACAAGGTCCACAGCTTGGGAGTGCTCCTCGACCCGGAGCTTTCACTCGAAGCTCAGGTAACAGCAGTGGCGAGGAGCGCTTTCCTCCAGCTTCGGCTGATTAATCAGCTGCGCCCCTACCTGGAGTACGACTGCCTCGCAACAGTGACTCATGCGCTGGTGACTTCCCATCTTGACTTCTGTAACGCGCTCTACGTGGGGCTACCCTTGAAGACGGTCCGGATACTTCAATTGGTTCAAAATAGAGCTGCCAGGCTGCTGACGGGGACTGGGCGTTATGTTCACATGACTCCAGTCCTCCGTCAGCTTCACTGGCTTCCCACTGAAGTCCGGGCCCAATTCAAGGTGTTGGTGATGACCTATAAAGCCCTAAATGGCTTGGGTCCTGGTTACCTGAAGGAGCGCTTACATCCATGCCCAGCCACCCTGAGATCGGCGGGAGAGGCCTTTCTCCGGGAGCCCTCCGTGAAAGAAATTAGGAGGGTGGTTACTCGGAGAAGGGCTTTCTCAGCGGTGGCGCCTAAGTTATGGAATGCGGTCCCCAAAGAGGTCCGCCTGGCGCTGTCGTTATTTGTTTTTCGGCACCAGGCGGAGACCTTTTTATTCAAGCAGCATTTTAAATGTTAATACTATTGAATCTTATCTGGCCAGGGCGGCTTATTTTATATTGTGTGTGTGTGTGTGTGTACACACACACACACACACACACACATATGTATATTTTTTAAATTATTATTATTCTAATGTATATATTTTAATTTTTATTTATGTGGTTTCTAATGTATTGTTGTAAGCCGCCCCAAGGCCTCGGCGAATGGGGCGGCATAAAAATGTTTTAATAAATAATAAATAAATAATTCGCTAGGTTCAGATGGTACCCACCCTTAAAGAACTGGAATGTGAAATTGCTGACCTTCAGCTACATCTCTAAGATCAGCTTTTGTACCTGAGCACTGAAACTATTTGGAAGGCCAATATCTAATGCCTTTTCAAAAGAAACCAGGAAATCACAGGTCAGTAGGTCTAACATGTATTCAGGAAAAAATGGAGGGACACATTATTCATAATAACCAAACTTAGTACAATGAGCAGGAGGTTGGCCCTTTCCAACTCTACTATTCTATGAAGAAACAGCAACATGGTTTCTGTAAAGTTAAGTTTTGTTTCATTAACATTTTGCAGTGAGTTCTCTGAGAATATCAATAAGCATGTAGATAGGAGTGATCCAGGAGATATAGTTTATTTGACCTTTTTTCTTTTATATCAGGCATTATTCATCTAAACATCAATTGCTGGAGAATGCAAATAGGAGCGTGTTATCATGTCTTATTTGTGGGCTTCCTGAAGACATCTTGTTGCTCACTATGGGAAAAGAATACTAGATTAGGTAGATCCTTTATC